AATCTGACCTAAACTAGGACCCGACCGAGGCGAGGCCCACGCTTCACCCTCGGCCTACTGTACAGTCCACTGAGAATCTGCAGGTTTCATTACATACTTACCCCCCCGGGGAGAGCGGACCTCCGCGCCCGTATTTCACTTTTTGGTAATGATCCAGCAAATGAAGGGGGTTATGGAGATAACAGTCTTGCCTGAAGAGGAAAACTTGAGATACTCACAGGGTAACCTATGCCCCTGATCTGTGTTGTGACAACAAGGTCAGGAGGAGGCAATCTCAAAGTGTCGGTTGGTCTCGATTGCATCAAGAACCATGGATAACCTGGTTTTTGACTATTACGCAATCGACCACTTCTGAAAAGTTGAGATCCGCGAACAACACCCTATTGCTGCAATACATTTCCTATACTCATGACCTCCACAGTAAACTGTGATGCCAGTAGAAGGGAAACTCGAAATTGCTGGCTATAGTCGTCGGACCGGGTGTGTACCCCTTAGTAGACATAAACCGGATGCAAGTCGGTCAGTAGAACTGAAGGACTGCAATAAGAGATTACGAGTAGAACAAGCAATCTCACCACGTGAAATATGACTAATTATCATTCAGGCTGGCAACAATAGATGTGTCGGTGCTCAACTTATTGAACAGATAAGGAGCCCGGGCAGGATGTTGAAAGCCTGGGACAATAACACTCGCCACACAGTGTCAGGAAAAGGGGAAGATTGCTAACTAGCAGCTAACCCTGATCAGGACATAGTGTCGCCAGACTTTGCACCTGCAAATACTGACAACTACAACTTCCACAAGAATGAGAGACAGTGAAGATTCAGGATGTGAATCAGCACAGGTGGAGGAATTGTGGTTTTCACCTCTTTCATGGATCAGGGATAGGGTAGGGTGAGTTCAAATTTGGTTTCCCTCTTGTCCCTTCAGCTGAAGGAAAGGGAGCAATCATCTGAGCCTCATGCTCTTCTAGTCCCTGCTCTGGGTCAGGATCCTCATAACAGAAGGATGCTGCCCGCGCAGTCCCCAAACAATCCGAACCTGTCTCAACTGAAACAGCTGCAGATTCACCTACTTGAGTAGATGGAGGTGCAGCATTGGGGGGAACTGCAGTCCCCAGGGTCTGTTTCAGTTTTTTGAGTGTCCTGGGCCTGGCATGTAAGGGCAGTCCTTCAAGAAGTGTTGTCCCTCACATCTCAGGCAGACCCCTCTTTCCTTGCGTCTTCTCCAGACTCCTTCCTGGATCTTGAGGTCATGCCAGGGGAGTGTGGAGGGATTGAGAGGGTCAGCTGGCATCCGGACGTCTTTCGGCAAGTTAGGGCGCTGGGAAGAGGAAGGTTGATGTCCCTTATCCTTCCCCTTGACAGTGGCTGAGGCTGTGGTGGGGGAGAACTTCCTATGCAGCTGCAGAGCTCCCAAAACAGCCTGAGTCACGGGCTGCTGCAACATCTGGATCAGCAGCAGATCCAGTCCCAGTTGAAGGTGCATCAGCCTGGGAATCTGAATCTGATCCTGATGCAGATCCCACATTAGTGAAGGCTGCCTTTCCCCTTCTGCCACCTCTAGGGAAGGCACCTTTCCTCCTGTCAGAGGATGGGGCGTGGACATGGAGCTTTGCCTCCATTTCCAAGGCTGCGTGGCCAAAGGACCTCCAGTCCTTGTGCCCAGCGTTGTACAAGGCAACAACAAGGCACTGCCCTGCAGAAGTTGGTCAACAGATCATCAATGGACATGACCAACCCAGGGGTGGAGGTAAGCTGCTCAAATTCTTCAAACAAGGCCTGCAGGGTGCCGCTGTATCGTTGCTGTCCCAGGCGAGCAATCCTGTCAGCAGCCTTGCGGGCCCGCTCCTTGTCTGCAAAACGGTCCTCCAGGGCCTGCAAAAGTTTGTCCACCCCAAGCCCAAAAGCCCAGTCCTCCATGGATTGTTGCAGACTGTTGGAGGTGGAGGTGGCCCACTTCAATGCAGGTCCCTCCAACAGTCTCAGAACAGTCGCCACCTTGGTCTGTTCTGCACAGACAAAGCCCCTTAAGTAGGCTTTGGTCCCAGCAGCCCAGTCCCCAATATCGGTCTTGGGGTCATCACCCCTGAACTTGTTGGGAGCAAGGATCTTGGGACCTCTGTAGTCTCCTGCAAAAACAACAGCATAGGTGGCCTTCGCTGAGGCCTTTTGGGAATGGGATGGTGACCGGGATGAATGTACTGAACCAGGGGGAGTAGAAGGGGGCGAAGAAGGAGGAGAAGGTTTGGGTTTCGGCAGAGGGAGCTGAGGGGCAATCAGCTTGGCGGCTGCCAGCTGAGCAGTCAAGCTCTGAATGGAATCCAGGATCTTGGACTGCTGAGCTGACAGTTCGTCAACCCGACGCTCCAATCGCACAAAGCGGTCATCCCAGTTTGTGAATTGTGAACTGGTGATCTTGTGTTCCAGCAGGATCATCTCTGCCATGTATTTGGTGATCTGCGGACATCGATCATCTGTGAGCGCCTTGTCTAGCTGCTGCAACAAATATTCTCTTCTGGAATGATCTGTTGCACCCTCTAGCTCAGCTGCCTCCTGCTGTTCCAACGCTGCAAGCCTGGCCTGCTGCTGTTGCAACTGTTCTTCCAACTCCTTCTTCATCCGCTGAGTAGCAGTCAGAGGTGGAGGAGGAGGAATGGATGTTGAAGGTTGTTCACCTTTCACCTTCATCACCACTTCCACCTGTGGCTGCTGCTGAGTCCCTTGATCAGACATTTCTTTTTTCAAAATAAAACGAAGTAATAAAGAACAGCAACCAGAGTATGCAGCGATACTCAGATTCCTTCAGCACGCTGGAATCGCTGCAATATCTCAACACTAGAATAGGTGGGTGTATAGGCAATCAGCGGCTGGGGTTGGAAGGGTGTCTCTGGGGTCAGATGTCAGACCGACTGCTAGTCCAGCAAAATCATGCACACGATTTCCTTTTACTGACCTAGACCACACTGGAGTTAGTAGATCACTCCACTACTCTTCCAGAGACCCACTAGATTTCCAGTACCCACTAGGAAACAAGAGTAGTCAGTGGGAATGATAGAACATGGTTAGTACAGACAAGAGAGGTCAACCAAATCAAGCGATTCAGACAGACACCCGGTATCCTGACTCAAACTCCAATTGAGACCCTGATGACTCTGGCGGCCATACCCTAGGGTATGGCGAAGTACAGTTTTCACTGTATCCAGTGAAATACTGCAAATCCAACTCTGCGATTCTACAGTATTGTCTATTTTTGGATTGCGATTCACTGGGGACTGACAGAACTGAATTCCGACGGACAGAATTGAAGTTACAACTGACCCTAGGTAGCTCAGGCTAAAAATAGACTCAGCGCAAAACTGCAATTCCCAGTATCACTACCTTTCCAGTGCAAAATTCACAATTTGAGTATCCCAGAATAATCGCAATGCAGTAAAGCAGTCACAGGACAATTTTGGATCAGAAAGAGTCAACAGAGGATTAGAAATGAGCAGAGAGAGGTAGGGGAGAGATGGCTATGGCTGTCATGCAGTCTGCGATTTTCACATCCAATCACTGACAGACAGATAGACCATTATAATTAACTACACTAATACTATCTGGATCGCAATACAGGTAGGTGCATGGAACAGACTCACTTTCAGAGAATCTTGCAGGTGATGATGAAGATCTGGCTATGGCAGATGATACTCTTATCTCGCCAATTTCTTCCAAATATTCCTCCTGATAATCCCACGCACAGAACTGCTTCAAACTTGTTGATCCTCCTCAGGATCGTGTAGCGCCGCACTCCCTCAACCCAGATGCACTGTATCTGGTCCTATGGCGCCTAGTATGCCAACACCAAAATATCTCGCCACAGTACCTGGTAGCCGCTGATGCTAAAAATAGCCCCAGATGGGGTTACTTCTTCAAGAGATTGATATGTAGTGTCAATCTCTGCCAGCGCTACCCAGGGATGATGCCGCTCAGGGTTCCCTGATGTCCTCAGGGGTAATTCGCCACTCTGGGGTA